CATCGGATTAGCAACAATGTAGAAAGGTGGGCAGAGGACAAGCGGGGAGCCTGCTACCCGAGTTCCAGCTCCAGATTCCTTACCGCTGTGTGAGCTCGGGCAAGTCAGAGTCTTTGGGGATCAGTTTCCTCAATTTAGAAACAAAGTTTGGGCCACGATTATTACATTTTTAAAACCCCTTTTAGATGAATAGTTCTAAGGTACACGCAACTGTGGACACCTACCTACTATCAGGCACTGCTTTGGCAACAGTGAAAGTATCAGTTTCAATACTATTTAAAACATAAGGGCACTACGAACATTTTTAAATGCAATGCACTACAAACCACCAGAATGCTGTTATCCGGGAACAGTTATTTTCTTTCCTTTAGACAGCTTTAACTTCCTTCTGGTCTAAAATGCTGTATTGTTTGTTTACTTATGTAACACTACTGCTTTCTTGATTACTGGAACTTAAATTCTGCATAAAAATTTACTTTTTATTACTAATATTTAAATTTCTAGGGAAATGTTTTTTGGTAATATTTTCAAATATTCATTAAATTCCTATTTTCTTCACTTTGAGGTGTCAGCATTCTTTAAGTGATAATACAATTTATAAAACTAGAAGTTTAATCTGAAAATCTATAGGCTTACCCTATGTTCATAATTTGAATAAAAATTCCTTTATATTACAAATTAGTGAAAACTTAATGAACAAATTTCTACATCAGCGATTTCTAACCTTTTTCATATCATGACACACAAACTAATTTCTAAAATTCTTCAGTATATCAAAAAAATATATTTTTTGCCGATCTCCGATCCGACAAAAAATAGGTATAATTTTGATTTATTCACACTGATTGATATTGTGCTGGCTGTTGTCATTTTTTAAATTGGACAATCTAAGGGAAAAGAGGTCAGTGGCCCTGGCTAGTCAGGTAGTGCATGTTTTAAATATTCTTGTGGCACACCAGTTAAAAATCACTGATGTACATTGATATTGGATACTTTTAAAGGAAATATGGGGAAACCATATCCTTTAAGTAGATGAGTATATTGAAGAGATTATTACCAGGCTTGATTCTCCCCTGGGGGTCTTAAAAGGTAAACAGTACTGTATTTTCACCTAGCTCCCCCAAATCAGCTTTATTTCTGCTACAGAAGAGTCGATTTCATTTAACTAGATAATTGAATCAGCACTGGTTGCTATAAACAGGAAATTACATATACTTTTGATCAAAGACAAAAATCTTTTGAAGGAAAGGACATGTTGGGCCTTTGCAAACATCTCAATTTCACTTTTCATCCTACCTCACAAGCAACGCTAAGAATTATTATTTAGATTTCTTTTTAGGAGGTCCCTAAATACAGGGACCTCCATCTTCTCTGTTTAGTGTTATAGCCTAGACTGACCAGAAAACAAAGATTTCCTGTTGCATACTAAAAATGTATAATGTCAAATAACCATTATCAACCCCACCTATGTTAACCTTCTCACACACACGAAGTGGGGAAATGTAAGGCTCATGGTATTAACTAAATGAAAACAGTGAACATTTATTAAGTCAAATGCCATGTGCTTTACGTTAATTAATTTCATTCAGTTCTGACAAGTAAGAGGTGATCATGGTAGCCCACAAAATATACTAATGTAAAAGAAAATGATCAGGAAGTTGATATATTTAATGTGAACTCTGACACATTTATGATCTTACAGCCCTAAAAGTAGCTATGCGTTTTCCTATTTTTCTTTGACTTCCCTGGAATTTGCAAGTATCTTTTTAGCTCTGAACAGCTAATCTGATACAATAAGCACTTAAACAACCTCCTCTGGTAGGCACTGTGATTGGTACTGTGGGGGACACACGGATGAATAGGAGAGGCCCTAAATCCCACGCTGATAATACATGTTGCTGGTAGTAATGTCATTTTCATGAAGTATTCTCCTAGTTCAGGCAGTATGAACAGCCTCTAGTTCTATTTAGGAAATTTCTTTTATTTATCTATAACACTGATGTGACCTTACAAAGGGAACCATGACATCTCTTACCTTGCACGTGCACTGCAGCGAGGTTAATTCTCAGAGTGGGAACCTCTCCAGTGACCTTCCCAAAGCCCACGTTCCATAACCTGCTGGGTTTTCTAACATTCTCATGCTAGATACAAGGCATTTGACTAACTCCTTAAATATTATGAATTCTGTTTTCATTTCATAGATCTAATGAGGTCCACCATCTCTACTAACAAACAGCCATTTCTTAAGGGAAAGATGATCTCTGGATAATAATACATGATTGTAGGATCTGAGAGGTAAAATGTGTTTGTAAGGTTGCTGTAACAGAGGTCCTGTCAGACAATTCTGAGGCCACATGAGAGCATGAAATGATCATGTACCTTCTGGAGGGGGACCAACTTAATCAGTTCTGTTTAATCCCAACTCAGTCACATGCTAAGTGTGTGGCAAGTTATTTGATTTCTCTGAGTCTCAGTACTTTTATCTGCAAAATGAGGCTAGTAATACCTACCCTGAAGAGTTGTTGTAAATATAAGAAATAACATTTGTAAAGATCCAGCAGAGAGGCTAAAATGGGTGCTTAATAAATAGTAACTGTTTATTCTCACCCATCATTGCATTGCACTTTGGCTGTAGCATTTCACCTCTGAGAGCATTCACTTGGTCTGTGATAAACTAGCTGATCAGTTCAAGTATGAGTCGAATTAATACAAGGATATGCAGAGATCTAATAAACTGGACATTTTCTACAAATTACCTTTTCATACAGCTGTCTTCCAAATACAAGCTATAAGACTCTGGGTTAGTTAAGAGCAAAAAAATTGCCTTTATTATCTTTATGGCTTCAGTCTAGAAAATAATAATAGTGATAATGACCTTGAACTCTTATAGAATTTCCAAAACTAATGTGTAAGTATATCACTACCATGGAGTGGATATCTTTTTGGTATCACTGAAATAATAAAGACAGAATTTAAAAAGACAAATTTCAGAGGTCTGCTCATTATAAAGTGCGTATGATTGTCACATAAACCTAGAACAGATAAAGTTTATTCATATTAAAATACAACACAGAATTTTTAAATAAAATGCCTCAATGACTAGCATTCTACTGAATTACTCCCTCAACTGACCAAAATTCTAGCTTGCAAAGTGCAAATGCAACTGCTTTGAGCTAAAGATCAGTTTTAGGAGAAATAATATATTCATACTCCCTAGTGACCATTCATTTAAAAACCTGAATCTAGATGCACAATCTTACATAAATTCAATTATTTATATAATTATTGTACCTGGATGGTTTCCTTTTTATTACTGAAAATAAACATACTTAAATAACATACACAGTATAGTGAAAGTGATCACTGATCATCTGACTGTAAGAATCCTTAGGACATGATAAAGGTTATGTATTTTAAAGGGAAGAGCAATCTGACGATTAGCTTTTCATTTGAGGAAGTTTATCTATAGCTCAAAAACTGCTTTCAATGCTTTCACTGGTTAAGCTCCAAAGCATCTTTTTCATGATCAGCAGAAGTGGCTGGCATTTAATTAAAATAGACTCTTTAACTATTAATAACTGGATAAATAGTTTTAAACCTATGACTGACGTTGTTGAATAAATAACTAAATAATGTAAGAAGTGGAATTATCGAATCACTTTTGAGGGCACAGTTCTGCTTGGAGGACTCCATGGAGGAAGTGCCTCATTTTCAAGAAAGGAATGACGTTTCTTTCCTTTTCGTTCAATTCTTTCCTGCCTTTCTTTCTTTTCCTAAAGAGAAAATAGAAAACCATATATTTATATACATGTATAAACAGAAAAAAATAATCCATTATAAGATATTTAAATGTCATTTCCTAGTTTAATTTGGTTATAAAAAAAGCACTAGGGAATATTGCTAATTTATAGGTATACTACCAATAAGTATTAATTGACCACTTAATTTTTTAAGTATTAAAAGTGATATTTTAAAAGAATTATAACTAAGAAAAAAGACCTATAATTCCATAACTCAAAGACAATAATTAGTCTAAGTTAGTGATCATTTTCTGAGAATAGGCTCTTAGAAGCAAATTTACTGGGTGCAAAGGTTGAATAAGCCATGGCAGCAAGGAACACTTCAGATTTTTTACAAATAGTTGAAAATTGAACCTCATGTTTCTTTTCTTATTATTGAGCTTGAGCACATTTTTATTTCTTTAGCCCTTTCATGAATTTTTTTGCTCAATTATTTGGCTCATCTTAACTGTAGGGGTATCAGTGCTTTTAATTTTTAGCAATTTATATATGATCATATAATAAATATTAGCTTTGCAGCATACATTTTATCTACATTACTTTTAGTCCTTGTTTTTACAAAAAATAAGATAAATATTTCAGCCATAGATAATAGTTTAAAGAGTAATATAATCAAAACCTGTATAGCCACTATGTGCCTTATGAAATAAAACATGACCAATGTTTTGGCCACTCCCTCATCAAACCTTCCTTCCTCTCCACCCCAATGAAGTAACCATTACTCTGAACTTGAGGCTTATCACTGCATCTCTTAATACTTTTATTACATATGTATTTATGCCTGAACAACACACAATTTTGTTTTGCAGGTTTTTAGAATTTATACTAAAAGGTATTGTACTATCTTTTCTATTGCAACTTCCTTTTTTTAATTCATCATATTTCTAAGACTTATCTGCATAGAGCTGTAGCTCTAGTTCCCTGATGTATAGAATTCCATCAACATAGTACAATTTATGAATAGACATTTTTGTTGAAGCCATGCTCTCATTTTTCCCCCAGACAATGCTGCTATAAACATCCCTGTTTATTCCTTGTGCTTATAAGCCAAGATTTTCTCTCCCTGTATATGTGCAGGAGTGAAATTGCTTGTTTGTAGGGTAAGAATATGTTCAGCTCTGCTGGAAAATTTATTATCCAAAGCTGCTGTAGGAATTCACCCTCCAACCAGCACCTATGTTGACTTTTTATTTTGATACATTAATGATTTTAAATTTAATGTTTTCTTTTGTTATTTCTTAGTAACACTTTCAGATTTTAAAAAGCATCTCATTACCATGTGATTGATAGATATTACATTTTATTTTATTTTGGCTCTACTGTTTGGCATTTTATATTTAACATTTTAATTCTTTTGGAGTTTCTATTGCTATAAGGCAATTCTGTTAAGTGATTTATGTCCAAATGTCACACAAATAATACCAATTGTTATTCCCTTGCATTCATCAATCTGTGTTATTATTCATATAGCACATTCTTACTTGGAATAAGTTCTGAGGTGTCCTGTGGGTCTATTATTCTACTGGTACTGGTATATACGGCTTCAATTTGTACTTATTCATTCAACTGTTAAGCACTGAGGTCCTACCCGGGGTCAAGCAGTGCACTGGGAGCCATGCACAAAGTGATCAGAAAATCCAAACACACAGTTACGATCCTGCTCCCTCAGGCAACTTGTAAAATAGACAGGTAATAAACAATTAAACAACAGGCAATCCAAACTATGTGCACTTTTATAAAACATAAACAACCTATTGTGCTTGCTAAAGAAAAGGGAGTATTTTCAAAGATAAGTGGATTCAGGAAAAGTCATTTGAAAGTGAGATGATGGATACGAGAAGCCACTCAGGATATGCATGGGAAAGAGCATTTCACGCAGAACAGGTGGGGGCTCTGACAAGTGGGACAAGCTTTGGATATGAGCGAAAACGAGAGACCCAGTGTGAATATAGTTGGTGGAAGACAGGAGAGGGATACCCAACGAGAATAAAAGGCAGGTGAGTAAGATTATGAAACCTTGCATGCCATGGTGACAGAACACAGGTGGACACAGAGAAGTCAACGAGTGACACTGAGAAGGAAGGCAGAGAAGTGGGAGAGAGACGAGAGGAGGAATTCAACAGGGTAGCTGCCAGGCAGAGCTGGCCAGCAGGCAGGGACAAGCAGACCTTAAACTAGGGACAGAAACGTCACAAACATGCACATCTAAAATACGTAAGTGCATTAGCAAACAGAACCTACCAGCCATTTTTCATATTCATCGATAGCTTGTTTATCTTTATCTTTTTTCTCAGCTCTTTTCAGTTCTTCTTTTCTTTTCTCACTGATTTTCTCTTTTTCCTTTTCTTTGAAAAAAGCTTCCTTTTTTTCATTCCTATGTGGGACAGCATAAAACACTGCAAGGTTAACGGGGAACACGTAATAAAGGTTTCCTACTAGGTCTCTGACGCAGTAGTAACTCCCAGTGCCGAGCGCCCTAGAAATCCCCGCTGCCCACGCAGAGCTGCGGGCGCGGCCGCGTTACCATTTTCCCACGGCCGCCTGGCTGTCCCTCCTCTTCTCCGCAGCAGCCTCCTCTTCCTCCTTCTTCCTGGCTCTTTCATGCTCTTTCTCCTTTTTATTTTTCTCCTTAAGATATTCCATCTTTTTTTCCTTCCATCTTTCAAAAGCCTGAAAAAGTTCAGAATGATTTTCTGATTTCTTGTGAATACTGTGAATACTGTCAAATGAGTAGAAACGCGGCCAATGGCTGACTGAGCCGCCAAATGCTTAAAGGAGCGAACAGTCAAAGCCGGGCACACCTGGACCGCCGCCTCCCTCCTGGCCGCGTCGCCCGCTGCCGCTTTCTTCCTGTGCTGCTCCTCCAGCCTCCTTCTGGCAGCTACTCTCTTAGCCTCTTTTTCCTTCATCGCCTTCCAGGCCTCAAACGACGCTAAGGCTTCTTCTCTTTTAGCCGCTCTTTTCTATTTTGGAGAAAAAGTAAACAGTTATATATGTATGTACAAATAGCTAAACAACTATAGATAAATAGATACCCAAATATATTTTTCTTTAATTCCCTTGATATGCATCATCTGTAGAAATTGTGTTTCAAAGCAGATAATTTATTTAGGATGGTTTATACAAATTAATTTATGAAAAGTACATTCTGAATTATTCCTTGCACTTTAAAATGTCCTTTACTAAAATGCATTTTATCAGCTATTGATCTACTATTCATGGGAAGGAAATCAACTTTTTTTGGAAAGAGTGCTACACAAACACTATCAACATAATCTGTAATGGGCTCCGTGGTGTAAAATGTTCATAATAAAATATTTTGGTCAAAGAAAAACAGCAAAGTACTAGGCTTATAAAGAAAGTCTGAGTAAAGGAATTTGGCCACCACACACAGTAAGCTGCAGATCTCTGCTGTGAACAATTTTTTGACTGATACCAAAGCATAAAATTCTTACTGTGTAAACATATTCCAAATGCTGAACATGCGTGGCAGACTGGAAAATATGTAGGTGAGTGTATAGCAAGTATGTTATTACTTTTCTTCAATCTAAGCCCATAATATCCTGTGCTTGCCTTAACATTGGTTAGCATTAAGTGATATAAAGCCTTATTACGGAGATAACGTAATTTAGAAGTAGAAGGACTACCTACTCACTGAGTTGTGAAGATCAAATGAGAAGTGTCTGGCACTGACCACAGCAGTGAGATGCTGCAAACACGGTGACAGGTGTGCAGGCACGCCCCCTGCAGGGCTGCTCCAAACAGCAGCGTGTATTTGGGAAATTTGTTTCTTTCTAAATCCATTTTAGTACTAGGCAGCCTAATGAAGTGTTTTTTTGTTTTGTTTTTGTTTTTCAGGGTTTTTATTTTAGAAGATGGGAAAGAACTCAGCCTGTTGTAGACAGTTCAGCTTCAGCCAATGGGAAGGATACGGGTCAAGAGCTCGGGTAGGGGTTGGTTTTAAAGATACATATAGAATCCAAGTTAGAAAGAGGAAAATTGAAGGTTAATGCTGATGACCCTTTATATTCTTGGCTAAGTTGTAAGACTGAAACTAATTTTTAAGGGTGAAGTAGGTAGGTAGTCACAAGCAATAATTAAGTTCACAATCAGTAGTGCCAAAGCTATTCCACACACATAAAAAATAAAAATCTCTATGTTTTTCATGTAAAAGTTACAACATATTTATATCAAACTAAAAATGTATGAAGTTCCAGAGAAACAAAATCAGAAATCAGTTCTTTTATATACAAGTTATTTTACCATTTAAAAAACAGTTGATTTAGAAATATTTAATACTCAGAGATATTTTACTAAATTAAAATCCATAATATGTTTTTACTTCTATGTTTCAGAATACCTATTCATTTTGGATCCTTAAGCTTTCATACCTGTTCATTTTGGATCCTTAAGCTTTCGCTTTCGATCCTTTTAATTCTGTGCTTTTCATGTATATATACATTTTTCTTTTCTAACCACTCCTGTGGGAACAAGAATAAATTTATGATATTCAAAGGTTTCCAAATGAATCTGAATTATCTATTTCTGAAATATTTGATTAAAAATTGTAAAAAGCAAAACACAGAATTTATAAATTCTATATAAACTAGTATCATTTTTCTTTTTCTGATAATGTTCGACTATACAAAGATTGCTCAGGTATTATAAAGAAAAATCTCTCCCAATAAATTAAGCATTAAATCATCATTTCTGACAGGGTAATTTTATTCCTTGATAAACAGGTAACCTTATGTGATTAGTTCTTACAAATACTTTTTTAAAAACATTTTTACCTGATAAACGGCTGCCCTTATGTTATCTGCTCCATCAAGTTCTTTGTTTTGTTTGTGTGAGGGCTTTTGGTCCAAGACTTTCAAAGTCCCTAAATAGTGAGAAGAGGTAGTTTTCGGTGGAGTTCTCCTTATAGAACCAGAGTTCTTTAAAAATTCAGAGGTCATTAATCTGAAAAGATCCAAATAAATCAAGATAAAATATTACAAATGTACTTGGTAGAAAAAGATTCGATAGAATTTGCAACTACTCTATCTGAAAACTACTTTCTAACTTAGTAAATTAAAATTGCTTTGAAAATGATAAAGTCTTTTCTTAGTATACAAAGAGGCCCATTCAACATAATTTAAATTTTATAACTTCCAGTTATATATTTTCAAAGTGACTGTTCTTTTTAGGTATTTGCAATGAGAACAGTTTTAAGAAACATGGACTGTATCTCAAGTTACCTGGAAAAGAACCGGTATTAATAAAGTAGGTTTTAACAGTTTCTTGTGTTACTTTGCTACATAAACCATTCTAAATATAAAGTTAGAATAGTATACTCTATTTCAGAGGCTGGTGGGTAAATCTGGCTCGTCACCTGTTTTGGTAAATAAAGTGACTGCATCACAGCTACATTCATTCATTTACGTATTGTCTACGGCTGCTTCCAGGCTACAATAGCAGAGCTGAAGAGTTACAACCCAGGCTGGATGGCGCCACAAAGCCTAACAAATATACTAACTGGCAACATGCAGAGACAGCTTCCTGAACCCGGTTCTTGTCGATTAATGATCATTTGATTACTGATCATTTAAAAGGCTCTGAAGGTTTTGATTAGCATGTATGAGTTACTGTTCATTATCATCATCATCAGTGTTTAATAAAACAACTTAGTCCATAGAACCTTAAGGCTTTTGAGTACAATTTTTCATATGTTAGTAAAAAACACTTAATAGAGAAATATAATGCTGGACCTCAGCTTTATTACCACTTTATATCTACTGTCTCAGGAAAAACAAGAGAAAGAAACTCTATCCCAGAAACAATGTAGGGTATGAAGAATCCTAATCAATTCCTTTTTATAAAAGAATATAACTAAATGAAGGGTTTTATCATGAAGAAACTACTCCATCTCATGAGATGGAAATTAAGAGAAAATCAAGTAACACCAAATGCAATTTACAGAAGTTCAATTAAAACTAGCTTTGTGGAGTATAAACCCATAAATAAGAGATAATGATAACTTTATTACCTGCCTGAGGCACTGGATGCTCTATTATTTGTTGACTTTTTATTCTTCATATTTCTATCTTCAATTGTATTCTATTAAATAGAAAAGGCCACAGATGGATTACTCACCAGAACTATCACAGTGAGGCTTAGAGGTCAAATGTCAGCAGGAAACAAATGTTTCCTAACCTTCTACTAGGTGTCAATTACAGTACTCACTGGAATTAGAGAGGGTTGACAGACAATAAAAAGATAAACAAATGTGACTCATGAAAGAATCCAGTGACAGAGTGACTGGAGTGGAGGTGATGGAGGGCCTCCCTGAGAGCTTGACATCAGAGCTAAGAAAAATGAAGAGTAGAAAGGAGCCACCGGAAGGTCTGTGGAAAGAAGGAACCAGTGAGTGCTAAGAGCCTGAGAAGAGAAAGAACTTGGTAATTTTGAGAAACAGAGAAAGGTGAATGCTGCCAAAGCACAGTGAACAGCAGGGAGAGAGGAGGAATATGTGCTCAGAGAAGAATCCCTGACATCTTTAGGGAGTGGTAAGGAGCTCGAATTTATTCTCATGATAAGAATCCAACAGAGACCTCAGCAGGGGAATGATTTGATTCCGGCATATGAAAGATCACTCAGTAGCAAGTAAGAATAAAGCCAAAGATGGATTTGGTCAAAAGCAATTATGTTATGATCTTACTTGTCATAGGTAAATTACCTGTTCTCATTTAGAATTACCTCTGTTAAGACATTTCTAAGATTCTGTCCATAAATTCCAGAATACCCTTCTTCCTTTTTAGGCATGACTTTTCTACTTCATGCAGATAGATGGGTGCTAGCATTAAAGATACAAACACATCTCTGATTTGGCATTAGTGTTTTTTCCCAAGGGAAGTGGTTAAGGACAATATATCTGAAACAAGGCTTAATGAACGTTCTCTATACATTTTAATAAAGAGCTAATATTCTGTATTATAATAAAGTCCTGTTCAACAACAAGTTTTCAGCTAGCACTGTTATCTTTCCCAGTAACAAATATGCATAGCTACCAGTAAACTGCAGCTCTAAGAGATAAAGACTAAATTCACCCCGGCCGGGCGTGGCTCAGCGGTCGAGCGTCGACCTAGGATCCAGGCGATCAGGGTTCCCGGTCAGGGCACATGCCCGGGTTGCGGGCTCAATCAATGACTCTCTCATCATTGATGTTTCTGTCTCTCTCTCTCTCCCTCTCCTTTCCTCTCTCTGAAATCAATAAAAAAAAAAAAAAAAAAAGACTAAATTCAGGAGAAATGCAGACTAAAAATGCTATGCCATAAATTTTAAAAGTATAGCAATCTGGTGCAATGCAGTGTAGGGACAAATAATCATACGCATAACGGATCTGGTTCTCGAGGTTATAATAAAAATGTTTCTGATAATTACCGTTTATCCATTTTAACGATAATGGATGTTGCTAAACATTTCTTCTGAAAATTCTTCATTAAAATTTGTAAAATGTTTAAAAATGATATCCAAAGAAATAACTTTCGCTAATTAAAACCTTGGAAATTGTTCTAGGTGGCTGCATTTTTAAATGAACACCAGTAGAAACCTATCCACTTATGGGTATGTGTTTCTGAGATACTTATAAGTATATTATGATCATATACTTCTGATAATTTTTAATGAAACAATAGGTTTTATTATATGTACTGCAACCTTCCCTGATTAAAATTCTTTTGAATTAAATAAGAACCACTTGGCCATATAATACCACTATTAAAAGATGAGTTTTCTACAGATAATTCAGAAGTACCAAACATGGAAGACAAACTATTTACAAGTTGTATTTTGTGCTTTAAGCTGTAGTATAAAAGGCATAATTTTATATAAATACCTTTGCAGGCTCAGTTGCATTGGTAGATTTTAAGTTATGCTGAGATAGTGGTGGACCAACTGTTAAGTGATCAGTCATTATCAGTTCAACTTTCTCCTTTTTTTCTTCAAGGTCATCAGAAGTCACTTGCCTTTCCTTGGATTTCTCAAGTGCAGTAGTAACAAAGTCTACCAAAAGTGAATTCTCTTCATTTTTGGTTGATTTCAAGGAATGATGGTTTTCACTGAATTCTTCATTCTGATCTATTTTGAGACAGAGTAACAGCAGTAAAACTCCATTGTAAATTAATAAGGTAGATAAGAGATTCATTTGCTTTCCACTAGATGTCATTAATCCCTTTTTCTTGCAAAATTAAATATCAAGAAAACTATCACATTCAACTTGAATAAACTTTTTTCCATAGTGATCTATAAAAGAGAAAATGGTTGCTCAACCTACTCAAATATCTGATGTACTCAACACTTAGAAAAAATATCACATTAGTAAATAGAATGGAAGAACTACCCTAAACCAAAGATCCACCAAAAGCACTCGTTGATGTACAAACCAAATGAGATGGCAATATCTATTCTCTTCAAAAGTCAGTTTCTTAGCTGGACAAAGAGGCCATGTAAGCAGGAGGCACATGTCTCTATACTACTACAGTTATTAGTAGTGCAGATGTAAAAATGCAGGGAGAACCTAGAATCCATGTAACCCTTCGGCAGTTCACCATGCAGAGAATAAAGCCGCCCCCTGTGTTATTCCCCCTAAGATGCTGTGTTGCCTCTGATGCCAAAGGGGCACTAAAGGCAGTTTATTCTCACCTTATTATTTATTATTGTATTATTTATTTGTATTATAACTGTAAACCTACTTTTGCCCACCCCTGTATTATTTTTACAAATAGAATTTGTAAAATTATAAGCAAATGAGTTCACAAATAAAATGATGTAATAATTTGATATAACCACCTTTTATAGATGTTTTATCCCCAGATCCTGGTAAAAAGGAATCTCCAAGACTTTCTTTAAGGGATGATGTTGATAAACTTGTTAACCATGGATCCTGCTTAAAATAAGAAAAATTTAAAAAAGTATTTATTATGTTAGTTCAGGTCTCAAGATTATGGAGGACAATAGCATTATGAAGACTATTTCATTTCATAAGTCTGAAATCTGCATTATTAGGAGTTTGCTGCTGTAACACCAAAAGCTTATTAAACGAATGGAGGCTAATATGCTTTCTTTTCAAGCCTCGATGTCTTGATCATTAAAAGGGGTCACTACAGAGCTCTTCTAGTTCTTTAATGGCCACTTCTACATTTGTTTTTAGCAACTGTTAAAATTTCTGCTTTAAAATCAAATCTCATAAATATTTAAGGTAAAGATCTGATATCTATTTCTCTAATTCTCCATTCTAAGACAGCAGGTAAAAACCCTCTCTCTAAAATCAATAAAAACATTTTTTAAAAGTTTTAAAAAAAGACAGTAGGTAAAAATCCTACTTTCCAACAAATATTACTAGGCCTCCAAATGAAAGCAATTATAAAAACAACTACACAGCTACTTACAAATACCTGAGACTAGAAAAGTACAGATTTTATGCACTTCAGTTTTCTTCAAAATTCTAAAAATTACACGAAAGTGAAATGATATTTGGGTGTCTAAACTAAACATCTCTTTATAGAACAGTAATCCAACCCAAAGGTAATGATATGATAGTGTAAGAAGTTTAATTTTGTTGCAAAATAAATGAATTCTCATTTTATTTCCCATGGTATTCTATGGGTACAAAGAAAATTGTATGTCAAAAGCTATATAGAAACCATCTGGGAAAATGGCAGAAAGGCTGAAACACTGGAGTAGAACTTAAGAGACAAAAGTTTTGCCTGAGGAGATTTGCAATTTAGTAGCTTTTTGCCTGAGGGCATTCTTCCATCTGTCCAGTTCAGTAGATGGCTGCAGCCTTGGGGATGGATGGGTGGGGGTGTGTCAAAGGATTGAGTTTAGGACTGGAAAATCAGACAGTGTGTTTGGTTCATCGGCATAGGGCATGAACCCAAAAATCTGCAAATAAAATTCACTAAAACCCTTGGCTCATCTATTCATGGTGTGGGGAAGACCTTAGAGAGTCCTGTAAAATCATAGCAGCTAGAAACTGAAAGAACTAAGCAGAGATTTCAGTCTATATTCATAACATGGCATGATGGATGAGGGAGCAAATGGAGCTATACTATTACAAGGTTTCTATATTGAATGTGNTAGACTGAATATAGATGGATGAGGGAGCAAATGGAGCTATACTATTACAAGGTTTCTATATTGAATGTGAAATAATGCAGTACCAACTCTAAGATTGAGATGATTTATGAATGCATCTTGTAATCCACAGAACTACTAAAATATAATGCAAATAGTTACAGCTGAAAAGGCAATAATCACAACGGAAAACAAAAAATATGTGATTAACTCTTTAAGGCAGTAAAGGAGCTAGAGAGGAACAATAACAACAATATGAATTTAAGAAACAGGTAAAATAAATAGAAAGCAAACACCAACAAATTGGCCCTAAATTTACTTACTTACTTCAATGGACTAAACACTCATATATGGTCTATCATTAAAAAGCAAATTTTCAGGCTTGATAAAAACGAGACATCAGATTATTAATAATAAAGAGTAACGTAAAGAAAAAGACACAAATAGTTTGAAAGAAAAATGATAGAAAAAGATTTACCATGCAGACACTAGTCATAAAAAAGCTGACATATCAGACAAAACAAAATGCAAGATAAGGAGTATTACCAGAGCATAGAAACATTTAATAATGCTAAGTACGCTAAAGATATAAGCGTATTATGTGTCCAATAAGAAAGTCATAAAATACTGGCAGAACTAAAAGGAAGTATAGACAAATTTGCAAGCATAACTAGAGATTTTAACACCCTTAGATGGTACTAGTAAGTCAATAAGACAAAAAGCCAGTGCATATGGAGAAGACATGAACGATACTACCAGCCACCTTGACCAAAATAAAATTATAGAACATTGTATCTAACACCTGCAGAACACATATTTTTTTAAAAAGCAAATGGAACTTTCACAAGATACACTTAGGCCAGGCCATAAAAATATCTCAACAATTTTTAAAAATGTGAAATCACGTAAGATACAGCCTCTATCACAATAAAATTAAATTATAAATTAATACAAAAGATTTGATAGGATCTAGAGAAGGTCCAAATATTTGGAAATAAAATCATTCAGCACAAAATAAACAACTGGTCAGAAAAAAAGATCACAAGAGAAATTAGAAAATACATTTATAGAAATGACAATGAAAATAAAAGCCATAAAAAAAAAAAAAAAAAAAA